GGGTCTAAAAAAAAATTAAAAAATTCCTTTTTTTTTTTTTTTTTTTTTCCTTCTTGGATGTCGAATATAAAAGTAAACCAAAGGGGGAAAATCGATTAGGACCTTGATGATTAAATGTTGGATCTATGAAAGTCTCTCTAATCAAGCCCCATGCTTCCACAAGAGTTCTCTGGACAGTGTTCACCTGCAAAAACCGTGTCAGGCTATCATTTAAATAAACCTTTTTGTTTCCAAACTGAATAAGTTTACTTATAAATTTTGACTTTCTCAAAACTTGCTTTTTACCGGTGTTGATTAATCTACTTATTAAGCTCACTCAAACATGCTCAGATAGACTCAATCTATAAACAAATTTCAACAACTTATCACAAAAGATTTCTAAGTTTTCTCGTCAATAACACTGGAATAAAAAGTAAAAATATACAAAATTTGATACCTCAAGCGTGTGAGAAACAGGGAACGCCACAGTCAGGGTCTCGGCGAAAGCCGGAGAATCACAACACAAAGAAACTGATAAAGCAAAACCAAGAACGCCTCTTCCAACCCATTTAACCAAATTTTCATTACACCCGTGACTGAATTGTCCACTTGATTTTCTTTCATTCACAGCCTGTGTCAGTTTTACTCGAAATTTCTGGGGTTTTCGACAATTTAAAACCGAAAAGAACAGTTTTGAAGTGGGTTCTGTGAAAGATTTAGGAATTGAAGACAAATAAGCAGCCTTGAGATCGAGATTTGGGCATAGAGATTCCATTTTGCTGAGAGGAAGAAAAATCAAGAATTATTTATATTTCTTAAAAGAATTTTTTTAATTGTGTAAAGGGATCTTTTAAGAGGAAGGTTGGATGGAGACATTTATGTTGTGATTCATGAAAGGAGCCCACATGAATCTTTAGGTCTGTGGTGGTTAATTCTGTTGCGTGTCTAAGAGATCTGTGCAAAGAATCCCAAACGAAACCTGCACCATTGCTACTTTAAATGGCAGAGTATTTTTCAGTTGTGATGAATTTCAAGGCCTGTGTCAACTTATTCTTAAAATCAGTTTTTTGAATGTCAGGGAGAAAAGTGAATAACTGCGAGTGAAGAAGTTAAAAATGATGGCTGATTATGTTAAGTAAAGGTCAAAAAATTGATTTTTTGATTTGAGAAATTAGAACCAAACGGGGGGATGTATTAAAAAAATATAAGTTTCATTATTAGAAATGACAAAATATCCGATTTCAAATGCATCATATTGCCTCTTGATCGAGAAAATTCTTAGTACCATCCACGTGGTGCAATCGTCCAATACCAAGACGCCACCTCGAGGGTTTGTGGTGGGCCACCCACCTAGGTGGCCCTTCCTTATAGGGTGATCGCACCACCATCAGTGCGACCGTCCTACTGAAAATTTTCTCCTCCTGACCAGGGAGGAAATACATGAAAATGGTAGATGGATTCGACCATATTTTCATAATGGCTTTTGACCATTAGAGGGGGAAATAAAATATAAAGATAAAGTTGTAAAGTTAAATACAAAATGCCAAAAATACCCTCATTACAATGCAAAGAAAATAGGGGGAAAAAAAAAACTCACATGGTCTCTAATCGTCGAGATCTAGCTGAAGTCGCATCCTCACATCCGACCACCACACAACCCGACTACTGATGGCATTATCTTCAACAAGTTCGTTTTTTGGTGGATTATGAGATTGATTTTTCATTTATAATGTTTCAAAAAGTTGTGGATTTTATGATGTTTATTTATATATTTTATGGTGTTTATGATGTTTAATCTTTAATAATTAGGTAAACTATTGTGCTTGGTAGTGATTTAAGTGTTTATTTTGCAAAAGTATTGCTTCTTCTCGTCGGAATGACGATTTTTCGACTAGAGAAGTAAATTCTTTTTTTACTGTCGGCCCAACCCAATTTTTATTTACTATTTATAAATTATTTTCTCTTTATGATAATTAATTTTTTTTTCAATTTTAAATAATATATATATTCTTTATTTAATTTTTATAAATTTTTTATTTATTTTGTTTGCTTTTATTATTATTATTTTTTAAAAATAATTTTAAAATTTCTTAATTGTTATCTTCATACTATACTTTATTTTCTCAATTTAAAATTCTTTTTAATTATTTTCTTTTTATGATAAAATTTAAATTTTTTTCACTTTTAATCAAATAATTCTTATGTTCTTTATTTAACTTTTATAATTTCTTTTGTTTAATTTTTTTATTATTATTTTTGAAATAGATTTAGAATTTTTAAATTGTTTTCTTCACATTATAGATAATGTTTTTCTAAATTTAAAATTATTTTTAATTCTTTTCTTTTTTACAGTAAAATTTAATTTATTCAATTTTAACTAAAAAAGACTTATATTCTTTATTTAATTTTTATAATTTCCTTCTGTTTAATTTTTTGTTTTTATTTTTATTTTTTTGGTAAATTTTAAAATGTCTTCATCTTCTTTAATTTAATTTTTTTCAATTTAAAATTTTTTTATTCTTGCTTTATTTTTTATTTTTATGATTTTATTTATTTTATTTTGATCATTAATTTCTATTTAATTTAATTTATTATATTTTTTTTAGGGTCTGTTTTGATTGTAAAGATAGAATTTGAGTGGAAAGAAAATGAATTCTAGGGAATTGAATTGCCTAAAAATTATTTTCCTGAAAATTGTCAATTTATTGTATTTGAATGGTATAATTTTTCACGTGAAAATTGTTGAAATAAAAGTATTTTTTATGTTCGTTTGATTTTGTTTTATATAAAAATTATCAATCAAAGGGATAAAATTTACTAATATTAGGGATATGGTTTGTTTCCATTGCAAAAAAAATAATAATACTAATAAAATTCAAGAAAATCATCTATCTTTTGATATTCATTTCACTATGTTTTACATAAAATTTTCAATTAAAGAAAAATATTTTGTTACAATTAGAGGTAGAATTTGTTTACATTGCAAAAAAGAAAAAAAAAATTCGAAAAAAATAAAATCGCTACATATGCCTAGAATTCGAATTCTCACCAATATGGTGAGAATTCGAATTCCATGAAAATATGAAAAATTTCTCATTCCCGAGAAAAACAAGAAAACTAATTCCTTGAAAAGAAGGCTATTAAACAGTCAAAAAAATGAAAAATTGAATTGATTTTTCATGGAAATTTTGGTATAATCAAACAAGGCCTTAATGCTTTTTTGCAATTTCTTAATTATTTTCTCTTTGTTGTAATTTAATTTTTTTCAATTATTTCTTAAAATGCTTTTTTATATTCTTTCTTTAATTTTCATATTTTTTATTGTTTTCTTTAATTTATTTTTATTTTTAAAATTTTGTCCATAATTTTTTTCTACTTGTGTCCTTTAATTTATTAAATCATTTATATTTTTATTAGCTTCGATGTATAATGAATATATTTTTTGTGTACAATAGTTACAATTCGAGTCACTTAATTTTTTGAGATTATGTTTTATTCAATTATCTCTTGCAGAAAGTTCTAAATTTTGAATTTTGTAGGATGGAGTATCATCTTGATGTTGAGTTGAGATAGATGGCGAAAAATGTACTTGAAACAGCAATTTTGACAGGTTTACTACTGTATTGGAGTTGGTCAATGATCAGTATGAAGATATGTTGCGTCAGTCCTTCTTTTGGTTCCTGTATAATAGAGTGAGATGCAGTACTCTGGATAGATTATAGATGCATTACTATGTTGGCTGCTTAGTCCAGTCGATGATGATGCCTTCCACTAGTTTATCTATTAACTAAAGATAGAACATAACTTTATTTAAGGAACACAACATTCTATAAGTTGAAAGTGACAAATACTAAAAAAAGTGAAAAGCAATTATCAAAATCTTAAAATAGACTTAGGGTTTGCACTGGTTGAGTTCGATCAAAATCATCATTGAACCACCAATTTTTAGTCATACCACAACTGCACCGTAATCACGTAAGTTGGTTCGATTTGTCTCGATTTTGGAGGTTAATAACCACGAAAATAAATTATTTTTTATAGGTTCAACCCTCAAATTGAAAAAAAAAAAGAGAACAATTTATAAAAAAAATTAAAAATTAAAAAAAATAAAGGGTCTATGAAAACAAAAACACAATAATAAGCCAATTTAGCAAACACTATCCTAAATGAAAATGCAAACAATATCCTAATTCCCAAATGTAAATTTCGAGTTTAACAAACAATTTTCATATATGTCTAATATTTGTGTACTAGGAAGTAGGGTTATTCGGTTATGTTAGTTGGACTTAACGGGTCAGTAATGGATTAGAATTTTAGACTTGATAGAATTATAGAAAGAATAATTGAAAGCCCAATTGCTTAATTAAATTTTTTTGAACAGGTAATCAGTTCGGGGCGGGCACGACAGCGTACATACCATACCTATCCCGTTAGTTCGATTTTTCTCCCTATTCGGTTCGTTAACCGCAATTTTCGGTTTTGACATTTCAAATGCCATCCGTATCTAGAAATGGTCGATTTTCTTTTATATGTNTGGGCAAAATATTGGCTTCTTAGTATTTTGAATACTGGTAATTGATATTTTTTTCTCCAAGTATTTGACAATCAAGTTCAGTTAATGTTGGTACCATTTATTTCAATTAATTCGTCTCCTTCATGTATACCAGCACGTGCGGCAGGGCTATTCTGTATGCATGACAAGACAACCTGAAATGAAATAAACACAAAGCTTAGTGCTGGCTTGAAAATGCATGGATTGTATGATGGAAGATTTGTGGCCGACTTATTCCCTCATCTTTCCCTTCTCGCTTACCAAAAGTAACTGCTTCCCTCATAAATTTACATAAAATAAATAGAATTTATGTTCCAAATAATCAAAAGCAAAAATAAGTCAAGAAGATGACCGAGAGAATTATATGGATAGCTACAAGTATCAGACATAGATGAGTTCATAACTAGATTTATAATCGCCTGCTTTTTAGAAATTAAATTCAGTACAAAGTACATGAATCACAGAAACTGTTTTAGAATTGAAAAACCTAGCATATGTATTTGTTTACAAACCAGGTGTCCAGTCCTTGGCTCAACATTGATGAAGAGACCAACTCCTTGCAAATTTCCATCACTTCCTATTCTAAAACTTTGATATTCCTGCACATAACAATCACTGGTAATTAGATGTCACTGAGTCATTAAAAGAATGAATTTTAACTCAAAGCAAAATGAAGTTCACCCGATATTAGCTAAAAAGATAAAATTCACAAAGCATCAAATAGCAATAAATCAACATAAAAAAGTGGAACCTTGGGACTTATAATTCGTGTAAAAGGGTCTCCAAGAGTTGAAAGCATTCCCTTGACCTTGCTATAAGCAGCATCCTCTGATCTAAGGGGAAACATTTCCACCATTGTTTGTTGCAGTTTCAAGTCCCAATCTGTGAATTTATTAATAAAATCATAGTTCTCTGGGGATATCGGAAAATTTATTTTGTCAGAAGTATCTATATATATATATATATATATATATATATATATATTTTTTTTTTTTTTTTTTTT